CATTTCACTGGAAGAAATCGAAGCACTGGGAGATTTTGGAATTGAAATAATAACTAAACTTTTAAATGATATTTATAATAGTGGGTATATTCCAAATGACCTTTTAAAATCCATATTTACAGCTCTGCCTAAGAAACCAGGCACTATAAAATGTGAAGACCATCGCACAATAAGTCTTATGAGTCACACGACTAAGATTTTATTGAGAATAATTATGAGAAGAATGAGAAACAAAATTAAACCAGAAATCAGCGATGAACAATGTGGATTTGTAGAAGGAAAAGGTACAAACAATGCCATATACATCCTAACGACATTGTCAGAAAAAGCTATAGAAGTAAAGACTGATTTGTACATATGCTTCATAGACTATACAAAAGCATTTGACTGTGTGAAGCTTGAAGAAGTAATCAAACTGTTAGAAAAATTAAACATTGATGGGAAAGATCTACGAATAATAAAGAATATGTATTGGCAGCTAACAGTAGCTATAAGAATTAACAACTGTTTAGGTACATTTCAAAGCCTAAAGAGGGGCGTACGACAAGGATGCGTACTGTCACCTGATTTGATTTTAATATACAGTGAATATATAATGAGAGCTTTAATTGGTATGCCAGGAATTGTCATTGGTGGGCACAATATAAACAATTTACGTTATGCTGATGAATTAGTCTTGACAGCAACAAGTCAGAAAGAACTACAGGAAATGATAGACATTGGGGTGTTAGAAAGTGGAAGAATGGGCCTTAGTTTGAATAATGGGAAGACATAAGTAATAGTGGTATCAAAGAAACGAATTATTCCTAAGTGAGTAATAAAAGTTAATTGGTGTTATTTTAGGACAAGTACAGAAATTTAAGTATCTGGGCGCATGGATAACATCAGATGGAAAATGCATAACTGAGAAAAGAAACAGAATTGGACAGGCAAAAACTGCATTTTATAAAATGAAAAACATCTTGTGCAATATATCCTTGTCATTGAGAGTTAGAAAAAGAATTCTTGCTTGCTACATACATCTAGTTTTAACATATGGCTGTGAATCCTGGACAATCGCTAGGCAGGCCAAACAATTTCTGGAGGCCTCGGAGATGTGGTTTTACAGAAGAATGCTTAGAATACCTTGGGCAGCCAAAAAGAGCAACCAAGAGGTTTTGAAAGAGGTGGGAGCCCGAAGACAACTTATCACAGACATCAGAAGGAGACAGTCATCATTTTTCGGCCATGTTATGAGAAGAGGGAAAATAGAACATGTTGTGACCACTGGAAAGATATGTGGAAGGAGAGATAGAGGAAGACAACGAGAGAAGATGCTTGACAGTCTTGTTGCATGGCATGGAGGTCTGTCGGCACACGAACTGATACAGTATGGAGAGGCACGATCGCCCACGCCAGTCAACAAGGCACCTGATAATGATGATGATGATATTATCTTACATGCATACACGCCGACACGGACGCACATCCGCTTATAAATACTATGGGGAATTATATATTTTAGAGCAAATCTCTATACAACTAAAGATTTGCAGCCATATTTTTCTGCCATTCCAATTCTTCAGGCGACTTCCTAAAAGCACGGCTGGTAATTCCGAACACTGTTTGTTGTCGTTGTTGTTGTGTGTGTGTGTTTGTGTATGTGTGTGTGTATATATGTGGGTTGTATATATATATATATATATATATATATATATGTGTGTGTGTGTGTGTGTGTGTGTGTGTGTGCTTGTGAGTTAGAAGACAGAGAAATTGCTTTCTCTAACCTGTGCTAAAATCATCTTTTATATGGTATGTTTTACCTCCTCTTGTGGGGTAAGAAAAAAGCCTTCGCATCTACTAAAATAAGGAGTTACAAGTTGACAGGACTGACTTCATTGCACTAAGTGTATCCCTTAAGGCTAGTTCTTTCTCCACAAAGCAGCTAGCCGCACAAACTCCGTAGTTCTGGTGACGATCCCAAAGGGATCTCCGTTAAAACAAATACATTAGCAAATCAAATTACGCAGCCCGTAAAACGAACCCACGACCTTCAGAACACGAAACAAGCGGCTTTGACTACTCGGTTCAGAAAATCCACCTAATCTTACCTTGAAAAATTCTTCCGTGGACCCATTGGCTATAATACCGTACTGGATTTCCGACTGCTTCAGAAGATCGTCTGCAGAATTGACAGGGATCTCCATGCGCTCAATCGTCAGAAAGGCTGCTAAATTCGCTGTGTAGGAGGAGATGATGATGAGGGTGAAAAACCACCAGGCAGTGCCGACAATACGACCTGAGATGGATCTGTCAATTCAAATTAGAAATAATCTGATGGAGTATTGTCAAGGAATCTGACAATGAAATTAGTATGGACGGGATGAGTCTGTCGGATGCTCTTCGTTTGGGGAACGAAAGGAGCTTATTCTGTGTGTGCTTACGGCTTATTTTCTTGTCTGATATAATGTTCCCTGATTACCCTTGGAGTATAAATCAATAGTTTGTGTGTGTATTTAATTATGTTGTCGGTTAATCCGTCTTGAGTTCGTTCGTCTTGGTATACGTTTGTATGTCCTTTTGCTATCTGTGGGCGGGCATTTATATGTGTTTAAGTGTGTATATGTGTGTATATATAATTTTTTATGCATGTGGGTGTATGTAGATATATATATATGTGCATATGTGTTTGTAAGTGCGCGCGCACGCATGTGTGTCTGTCTAATCGTCTTTCTGTCTATTATAATAATGTCACATCACGATGTACCATAGGGAAATCTGAGGTCCTTTTTTAGTATTCTTAAAAGTTATTTTAGCTTTTCCTACCTAAACTTTCTTCTTCACACCAGACCATCGTTTGCCACGAAAAGACCAGAACAACGATAATCATCGGCAGCATCGTAATAATCTGCAGCAGGCACTTTACAGAACTTAATTCTTACCACAGCCTGCCTAAAAGAGATTCGGTCTCTAGGCAGCTGTCCGTACACTTTCCTGCTCAAGGTATCACTTGCATTCTGCTCCCATATTCATGCTGGTCTGTGTCTGCCCCCCTTACCGGCCACGGTAACCTCCACTATGGTTCTTTCTAATTTACAGTCGCCTTTGTTGTGGTCAAAATGTTTTAGATTTTTTTTTTTTTTTTTTACGTATCCAGAAACCATGAGTTGTAAACCCTTTGGCTCGGTACTATGGATATCGCAACCCTTCGGCCTTGATTCCATTATAGGTACCGTTAATCTGGGAGAAATGTGGCTTTTCTGCCTACCCCCGGGAGTGAACCCGGACCACAAGGAGTTCGTCACACGGCCGCCGCGAAAGTCAGGTTTAACTTCCTTCATCTCTTTTAAGTTGTCAATATATTTTCCCCTTTGGATCCATGATATCCTTAGAATCTAACAAGAACATGTCGGATCAACAAACTCTATTTTCTTGTTCAGTGATTGTGAGCGAGATAGTCCACAATTCACATCCGTAAATCGTTACAAGGAATGTGGCTGCTATTACAATTTTGAGATTCATCTGCTTGCTAATGCTAAAACATCTACTTTGAATGCTGTTTAATATGTGCAACCTTATAATTATCATGAAGCAGGTCCTTTACAGAACGCCGCTCTCATCACAGTCTGTCTGAAAGAAACTTGATCTCTCGCCAGCTCTCCCGTCTCGTCTACTTTCATTTTCAAGGAGTCACTTATATCCTGTGCCCATCTTCGTGTTTTAGTGTTGATCGTCCCTTACCCCTCCTTCCTGGTACCATGCCTTCTGCTATTATTGTTTTCTAATCCGCCATGGCGCTTGATAGGACTAAAATATTCAGTTTCCAAGACAAGATGCAATCTTCCTGGATGTTCAGATCTTTTAAAATGTCAGTATTTCTTCTTTTCTTTCGTTGTATGTGCAACTTACTTGGGATAAATATCGGAGCCTTGCTGCATCAAGGCACCCAAAGCAAACCACACGGTGTTGGCAATGCTGAACGCCGGTTTGGCCTTGTCTGAAGACTTTGCAGCGCCGCTAGCCCACTCGTATGGGCTGAAGCGACCCACCAGGAACAGGACTATGCTGACGCCGATGAAGCAACCGATAATGGCCAGCCAAACTCCGTTGGACAGGGGATTCTGAGGGAGATGATTCATAAACATGTTCGTGAATAACGTGACTTGTAATTATGAGATAGGTATGCTGTTATGAGTAAAGGACTTGTCATTATGAGAGAACATGTCACAATGAGTTATAGGACATATCATTATCAGTAGGAGGACATTTTATTATGAATCAGGGGATAATTCAGAAGACGGGTCCTTGTGAGTAATGTGACTTGTCGTTATGAGACAGGCATGTTGTTATGAGTAGAGGACCTGTTATTATGAGAGAACATGTCAGAATGAGTGACAGGATCTGTTTCTTTTTTTTTTAGACATAGGACATGTCATTAAGAGATAAAGCATATAATTATATCAGACAGGTAACATGTCATAATGAGTGAAAGGACATGTTGTGGGACAGACAACACATTATTATGAATGAGAGGACATGACATTCTGGGAGAGAGGACACGTCATTATTAGTGAAAGAACGTGTCATAATGAATGAGAAGATATGAAATTATGAGTGACAAGACATATCATTATCGGTGAGAGGACATTTCATTATGAAACAGGGGATATGCCGTTTGGACATGTCATTATGAGACACAAGTCATGTGCTTATGAATCACTGGACATGTCAATATGTATGTCATAATGAGTTAGAGAACATGACATTATGAGTAACGAAATTGTGACTAGGTCATACGAATAATGTGTATTACTGAATTAATCAGCCTAGAGATGCTAGGGCAAAGGTTTCCAAGTCGTGGTCAGCGGACCCCCGAGAAAGGGTGGGGGGGGGGGGAGGTGGCATAGAAAAAAAGGGGAGGAGGGCCGTTGAAAAAATTTATTAATTCCGTGTTATCGTTTACAAGAAAGAAAGAAATTAATGTCTTTGCTTTATGAAACACTAAAAAATATAAAAGTGCCTCACTAAAGTACACACACACACACACACACACACATACATACATACAAACGACTCTGAAATAACACGAGAATGTGAATTATTTAAAGGATATCAAGATAAAGCCAGCTGATGGCTAGCTCAGACATCTACTTAATTCTTATTTATTCTTTCTTTCTCCAAATCTGTCATTATCCTTTTATGCCTTTACCTTTCGTTCCCGCACCTTATTTTTTATAATCCTTCTGTTCCACTTTTTCCCAACTCTGTTCTCCCTCTCCTTCTTTTAAAGCCATATTCTCAGTTAAGAAAAGTCCAGCGAATGTTCAAATGAAATGCATACGAATGGCTTTATTAGAAGCATATGAAGGGTATGTTATGTAAATTGTCGGGGTGTATTTTTAACGACTTGTTTTGTGATTTCTCCTTCGCATTTACCGGCTATTAACTCATGTGGAAGGTTCTGGCTGCTCGGCCACTTTTGGAATTTCCTCTTGTTCTAGAATTCGTTTTCTGCGTATACACAAAATTTTTACAGATTCTTATTTATTTGTTTGAGACTTGCCGTGGCGTAGTGGCTAGAGGCTAGTGTGCGGATCAGAAGGTCGTAGGTTCGCTTCCTGGCAGAGCCGGACTTTTTTTCAAAAATGACCTTGACTCCCAGGTCGACCAAGCCTTGAGTGGGTACCTGGTTCAGTCCCAGAAAGTAGAGGTGGTTGGCGTGATGCTGACCCCATCACCGATCTTGTGCCGATTGGTCTATAAAATATAGGTCTAGCCCTATATGCCCTATAGCCTGAAGGCGTGTAAAGGGGACCTTTACTTTATTGATTTGTATAATGTTGGTTTTTCGCATCTCAAGCAGATACACCCTGACTTCGAAGAAAACAACCCCAGTTAATTTTCTTGTGTGACCAGTGGAACAAGAGGGGTGATTTAAAGGGGGTGGGGGGGGGGGGGGGGGGGAGGGGGGGGAGAAGAACTATTCGTTCTCTTTTCTCCCTTTCCGAAACTCTCAATAGCATATTGTGTTGCAGAATTGAGGGTGATGCGCATTTGTTGCCAATAGTGGCAGAGGAGCGGAACGTTGAGCTCCCACGTGGCAGACTCTGCTTCAAATCCGAAGTCAGGTGATGAAGTTGTGTTGTTTGTACGAGTAAATATTGAACGCAAAAATAAACATCCCAATATGCAGTCAGTGGCCTTTTCACTAGCCATGAGATCTTTCAGCGCCAAGCGAAGGACAATCCCTATCGCACACTGTCATGAGGCGGTACGACAATATTTAGTTGCAGGCGAAGAATCGTTGTGAAGTTTTTAAAGCATACAGCAAAACAGCGACCTTGGTCAAATGATTTTGTCTTACTATTCCATTTCACTCCCTCCAGGGCTGTATCTGCAGTCTAACGATAACCAAAAGTGGGTTGAGTGTCAGAATGCCTACGGGGAAATCTTCTAGCTTTCTCAAACCGTATGCTTGCTTCGTAAAATTTGCGTTGTTTTGTTCTGTCGCCTGTGATAAAATACTTGAAACAAATTTGTAGTAGAGTTTAATCAAGTGAAACTGTGACTAAAAGGCTTAACGAAATGGGGAAGCAGGAAAAACGTGCACAATAATATGCAAATCGACGTTTCGGCCAGGGACCTTTCTCAACATGAACACTTCTAGCAACAACATTAACCATAACAATAATAAGAACAACAACATCAACTACATCAGCAGTAACTAGACCAGCAACAAAAATAACAAAAACAACGATAAGAACAAAAACAGCCGCAGCAACACCGTCACCAACAAGAAAAATACAAAACACAATAATAAGACAACAACAACATCAACAAAATCAGCAATAACACCACCACAACAACAATAACAAAAACAACGACAAGAACAACAACAATAACAAAAACGACGACAAGAACAACAACAATAAAACCTGAAGCAATAACACAGATGAGAAGTGGGCACACCTTGAACGAGAAGACGCCACCTTTCTCCTTCTCTGGCTTCTTGATCATGATTGAGGTGCCCAGCTGCATGAAGGGCTTGGAAAAGTCCACGTACCTTTCTCGGATCTCCGTGATGGTCATTGAGGCAATGGCCATGTCAGCTTTCTGTCAGAGAGTCGTGTGTATGGACAGTTTATTGAATGTTATCACAAGCTAGGTCTGTGCACATTAGGCATTCCCATACGTGCTCAGTCTTCTGAGGTTGAAACCACTTCTTTCTTCTTCTTCTTCTTCTTCTTCTTCTTCTTCTTCTTCTTCTTCTTCTTCTTCTTCTTCTTCTTCTTCTTCTTCTTCTTCTTCTTCTTCTTCTTCTTCTTCTTCTTCTTCTTCTTCTTCTTCTTCTTCTTCTTCTTCTTCTTCTTCTTCTTCTTCTTCTTCTTCTTTTCTTCTTCTTCTTTATTCTTCTCTTCTTCTTCTTCTTCTTCTTGACTTCTTCTTCTTCTTCTTCTTCTTTCTTCTTCTTCTTCTTCTTCTTCTCTTCTTCTTCTTCTTTCTTCTTCTTCTTCTTCTTCTTCTTCTTCTTCTTCTTCCTCTTTTTTTTCTTCTTCTTCTTCTTCTTATTATTATTATTAATTATTATTATGATTATTTTTAATTATTATTATTTTTATTGTTATCGCTTTATGATTTACACCGACAGACGAGTTCTTTAAATAAGAACATTCCTCTTTACTTCCACCTTTGGGTGTGGTGTTAACTCTGTGGACCAGTATTCACCTCCTAACGCGCCGTGCTAGGGACATTCTTACAGGACAGATTCTACAGTTAGCACACAAAGCCCACATGGGCATGGCTGCGAATTACTTTGACGAAATCTATGCAAATACGTATATGTTTGTTTTGCCCTGTCTCGAAGGGAAGAATGATGACCTGTCCATGCCGGTCGTTTACCTAGGTCACGCAATGGGGTTAGCGTCTAGGATCTGTCATTGTCTATCACCAGTCTAATCTGTAGATAACGCTGATATTAGCTCTGTCCCTCCTTCTGTCCTTGTGAAATGGTGCATTCGATTAACCGTCACTCGTCCTTTTCTGTTATCCGTTATCTTCCTAAAAAAAATAATTTAAAAAAAAAAACATTTTTTTCTTCAAATAATGGTTCCATAAGGTTTTTGCGCCTCAAGTTAGAGCTCCTATTGCTAAAATGCAGTTGCCACAGGAAGCACTGCTGTTAACAGACAATGTTCTGACACACCCCTCCTGTGAACTAGAAAGTGATGATGACAAAACGACATGTCCCATTCTCTCAACGAATACAAACGCCACTTATCCAGCTTGTGGCCCAGGATATAGCTGTCAAAGAATTGTGGAAGAGATACAGCCCCTGGCTGTTGTGTAGTTTTTCTAGGCAAATTTACGTCTAGTAGTTTGACATTGAAATCTGGACGGTCAGCTTTCTTGATACCACTGTCGAAACCACTGCAAGGTGCATGGCCCACAGCTGGGATCGAACCCGGCATCCCGGCATTTCAAAGCGTTCGCATTGACTTAGCCACAGAGCTGACTCTCTTATTCTGAAGTTTATATTGATCGTTTTATAAAATGAAATACAATATGTGTTGTATTATTCACTGTCAAAGAATTTTTTTTTTCAATATCGTCCCTAGCTCGCAGTGAAATAACGTTACTGTACTTATATATTGGAGTCGCCGTGGCAGGGCGGCTAGACGCGGGCCGCTTATCGGAAGGTCGTGGGTTCGCTTCCTGGCGGAGCCGGACTTTCCTTCAAAAATGACCTTGGCTCCCAGGTTGACCCAGCCTTGAGCGGGTACCGGGTGCAGTCCCGGGAAGTAGAGGCGGCCGGCTTGATGCTGACCACATCACCCATCTTGTGCGGTTGGTTTATAAATATATAGGTCTAGCCCTATATGCCCTTTACGCCTAAAGGCGTGGAAAGGGTCCTTTACTTTACTTACTTACTTACATATGTATTAACAGATTTCTGTTCTCCATCTATTCGGCTATCTCTCACAGTAGCACTCCGGGCGGTTTTGGTTCAGAGAAGTTTTATTGCTCAATTTTTATTAGAGTCGCAAACAAAAAGAAGGTTGATGATATTTGTTATCTGCTCCCCCCCCCCCTCTCTTTTTACCTAAATGATATTACGAACCCTTTAAACTGGTTCCCCGCACCCATGAGGGTTAACCTGGAAAGTATTACAGAGGCCATTTGGTGCCTGTGTTCCCTCACTCGACCTGCCAGGAAAAGGTGACGGACGGGTAAAGATAGCATGAAGTTATATCACCTATAGGACTAAAACATAACACCAAGTTTCGAGGTCTGTAGAAAGGCACTTGCTGCATTTAGAGGCATCTGATGATGATGTCCTCGAAAAGTACCCAGAGAGCGTGGGAAATGCCACTCAGGCATCACGTTTGGATGAAGGGGAAATTCCCAACTACACCTCCTCGTGGTGGACGGAAACACACCTCGGTGTGGCTGACGCAGTCTTGGGGAAGGAGAATCCGCTGCAGTAAGCAGATCACTCTGTGGCGTTTTCTGATGTTAGCAATAACATCGCAGAGTAGGGTACTCACTTACCCAGGCATTCTAAAAGATTGCTGAAGGCTGAGATGCTCAGCCGTCTGGATGTGGAAAACAAGAGGATACTATATCATCATATATCCATAGAGACTAACCATGGAAGAATATAAAGGAGAACTGGCTAATAAACAGCGTCCTGTCCAGAAAGCTGAAGTATTTTGGCCACATAAGACGTCATAGTGGTTTCGAAAAGACTGAGATGGAGGGTGCAGTTTGCGGAAAGCGAAGCAGGGGTTGACCTCACCGCAGATGGATACAAGACTTTGAAAATGCATTGGCACTGAAAGCACATAGGGCTGGAGAGCGGGCTAGGGAAAGGGATATTTCCAGGCGTGCCGTGAAGAGAGTGACTTTCTGTAAAGGACATGCTCATTGATGATGATGGTGGTGCTATCGATGAAGTAATAATCGATACTTACCCCGCTGAGCAGTTCTCCCATCATGCCATTCCAGGTTCCGTCCGGCAGCC